CTCCTTTGTAAACAGAAACCCAAACTTAAACAAACAGTAAAACCCTAAACCCTTGTTTAAACACTTTGTTTAAAAACTTCTTAGATTACATCTGAAAGAGAGCAGCAATAGGGTATTTATACCCACTTTAAATCTCAGTCAAAACCCTTAACAAAAGACAAAAACAGCCCCAGCAAACAGCTCAGAAAATAGCCGTTGGAAGAGCAACGGATCTATTGTCGGTCGACCGGAAATTTCGTCAGTCGACCGACGGAGAGCAAAAACACGAAGAAGCAGTTCTGGACCATCGTCGGTCGACCGGTGCGGTCGACCGATGGAGCTCTCGGTCGACCGGACCGGTCGACCGACAAACTCTCTGCTGCCCACTGCCGACTTAACATATGAGCGGTCGACCGGATCTAGGTTTTAATAGCTGATTTTGAGGCTTTGGAAAATATGTTAAAAATAACAAATGAAGTCCAAAAATAATGAAAATTTGGGAAATGTATATAAACATGTAAATGAGCATATTACAAAAAGAATTTTCCAAATTGCATTTCCCATTTGTGAAAAATCATCATTTTGCAAAATAGTTCAAAACACAAAAAAGTAAACATGTGAATTTTGATATTTTGGCTAAACCATGTTTTGAAACTTTGCACAATGATTATATAGACTTAATAAAATATATATATGATTATTGTTAAGTCCAAAAAACTAAGAATATAAAATTTTCACAAAATTACATATTCTATGCAATGTTTTCAAAAACACAGTAGTAAATATGAAATATATGATTTCATATTTATAAACATGAAAACTCAAAAACACATGTATGTATATATATAACTATATATATGCATAGAAACCAAAACTTATGTATATATATATAACTATATATATATACGAAGAAACCAATAAATGTGTGTGTATAGATATTGAGCTTAGAGTATATAACACACATAATATAAATCCTAAACTAAATTACCCAAGCTTGATCTTGATCTTCATTGAGCTCAACTTGGTGCACGTTGCGGATGAAGCTAAACTTGGATCTTGAACTTGAATTGTATAGGCTTCACCGATATTCCGCCAACCTCCTTTGGATATGATCGTTGAAGCTCTATTCCATCCATCTTTCAACTCGTTGTTTGTCTATAATAAATAAGAAAACACAAATACTAGACAAACAACATTAGTGGTAAATTGTTTGTTAAACAACATCAAAAAAAGAAGGCCAACAGAACTAACATGACCCATGTTAGAACTAACCTTGTAAGAACAAATTCCAGTTGATGGTATTTTTCTGATCGCAAATGCAATAGGCTAATGGAAATATCCTCTGATTTTCATCATATTCCACGGTGCTGAGGAGTATACATTTGAATCGATCTTTCAGAAAGGTACCATCCAAAAATATAAGTGGTCTACAATCGTTTAAAAAATCATTTATGCAGGCGGCATAGCAGATGAATAGCTTTGAAAACCTCCCCTTATGTTGTTCAACATGAATGTAGCTACCTGAGTTTGTCTTCTTAACCTCTTCTACATACCTAGACCATTGAAGATTGGGTGTTAGGAAAAACATTTTTCAAATTAATATATACAGCGTAACATAAATGAAATTAGTGTGTATATTATAGATATTATATTCTTTTACCATCGTAATTGATCGTAAGACTCAAGGGCATCACCATATAGTTGCTCTTGTGCTCTTTCTTTATCCTACCATATCTTACTATAATCGACCCTAAGCCCATACGAACTTAGAAACTCCTTTTGTACGTCGATAGGTCGTAAATCTATAATCGACCCTAAGCCCATACGAACTTAGAAACTCCTTTTGTACGTCGATAGGTCGTAAATCCGGTCAGACCTTTAACGTGGGTAGTAAACGAACTTAGAAACTCCTTTTGTACGTCGATAGGTCGTAAATCCGGTCAGACCTTTAACGTGGGTAGTAATTGGGTCGCAATGAATTATCGAGAGGCCTTAGATTGACCTACGTTATTGCTATGATTCCAATAAGTGTGGTTGTCCATGAAGGTTTTGATTTCAAGTCTATTCTCATTTTGTTTTGGAGAGGAAAATAACATCCATGGGTAATTTTAGGCTTCCTTGAACTAACAAACGACTTGAATACGCTTCAGTTCATTCTTGGCAAACAAGTACTTGAATGTTTTGGCCATGGAATAGTATAACAAAACAAGTACTTAAATGTTTTGGCCATGGAATAGTATAACAAAGCCAATATTGATTCATTCGCACTCTCAAACCATTGTCCCTCACCGATTAAAGCAGTGTGCCACCAAACAGGAATCCTCAATGATCTGCTAATCATGTCATCAATCATTAGAACATTATCTCCGGAAGGATTGTCATTGGGAATCCTATCCGAAATACATGCGGGCGTCGACAAAGGCAGGCCACACTCTATACTTTTTGAGTTCATACGGCTGGAAGCGCTGCAAATATAAAGAACATAAACAAATAATCATAAACTAAATAATAGAAACATCAACAAATAACACAAACAAGAAAAAAGTAAAAACAACAACTGTTTGTGTTAGAACTGTCATGGAATATAATTGAACTAATAAGATTTCAATTAGAACTAACACGAAATCGTTTAGAACTAACATATTGGATCTAACACAAAATTTGAATTAGAACTAATAGTAAATCGATTAGAACTAACAATAAGTCAATTGGAACTAATAATTAATAGATTATAGCTAACAATAAATCTATTAGAACTAACATGTTTAATACATTCACGTAGAACAAGAACTAGCATGAACCTCCTTCATACGTATAGAGCTGTAACTAGAATTCACAGCGGTTAGAACTGACATGAAATCGATTAGAGCTAACATACGCTCAAATCAGAGCTAAAATCCAATTACACCAAACATGGAACTAGCATGAACTAACATTAACCGATTTTATAATTAACGTCGTGAATATTGGTCTTAGCATCAAAAAAATCCTTATCGCTACATGTCTTGTCGAACTTGCTCGTTGTTGTGGACTTTTGAAAACTTGCATGTGAACCTCCTTTAATCCTCTGTTATGACAATGCTCCACCATAGATGACAGATCATCTTCGTTTTCATTGGGGAATTTGAAGCTTCCATTTGTTTCATCCTTGTATGACAAACTTAATGAATTATATGGAAGATCTAACTTCTCCGACACATCAAATTTTAGATCCAGAATGGTGGTTGAAGGGTTAATATTCATGAATACTGCTCTATCTCCAAAGCGACAATGTAGATGATGTCCTTTTCAGTCATTATGAAGTGGAGGTAAGAGTATTGGATCAAACTTAGGACAAAGAGGAGTAATATATAGAGAGTAATGGAGAGAATTTTCGTCTGAGGAAAGAGTAATGGAGAACTAAATAATTATTGCTCATGATAGAGGGGAAGTTTCCTCCATTTCTTACAACAGTTTGCATTTAATGGGATGTGCGTATGGGGACGAAAGAGAAGGGCAAACTCGGGTTTTTTACATAATACAATTGCTCTTTTGTATACCGCTAACGTGGAGGGGCTCGGAAATATTAAACGCTACTTGTTGGGGCTTATCAACTTGGGGGAAAATACAAGGGGTCTCGTCACATGATGTTTCTGTTTTTGGGACCTCGACACATTTTTCCCAAAAGTTTTTATAGAAGTGGTATAATTTTGGAAAAGTGGGGGTAGTTGTTTCAATCTCATTATCTCTATGAATAACATCTTAAAGTGAAATCTCAATCCTATTGTCCCAATGAATAACACTATAAAGTAAAATCCTAAAAATTATCTTACTTACCCCAAAATTGCACCAACCAATAACCCCCACAAAGATCTCAATAAAAAAACTAGGAAGAGAGCCTTAGGAGCATGTTAGCAAGGATGAGTTATCATGAGCCTTGCATAGTACTTTGTTCTCAAAACCAACTTAAGGAATTTTATGTTGCACTATGTGTGCATAAAACATACAACTCTTTGTTAGAGTTAATAACTAGTTATACAAGGAAAATTCCCCATCATCGAGGGTGATTTTCATAGAGTAGAACTAGGTGGTAAAACACCAGAGCTCTTTTGTTTACATTTTTATTTTTCATATTTCGTTTCTTCTTCCTCCTCAACCACAACATAAAATTACATCACCCTTTTTATAACCGTATGTTAATATATTATTTTATTTTTTTAATCAAATATTAGAATTTTATAATTAACTTAAATTAAAAAAATTACAACTCCATACTATATTAAAAGTTACTTCAACCAAGAGATAAGGGAAAGACATTTGGTAGATTGATAAAAAAAGAAAACATAGGAAAACTTCGTGTTTTTGGATTTTTATTATAATAATATTTCCAATAAAATTTAAAAATTACAATTATTATTATAATAATTTATTATTGTCTAACAGTAGTTATTCAACATAAATTAATATTAAAGTAAATACTTATTAACTAATAATAGTAAGTTTTAAAATATGTAAATAATAGTCTATCATCAAAATGCATAACTTATATTTCTTGATTGTTGCAATATATTTCAAACCATTCTGACATTTGTCCTACAAAAATATCGTGCTTGAAGAAAGTACTCGTAATTATTCCAATAAAATATTTCACTTTTAAACTATCACATACCAATAATTGTTTCAGTTGTAGCGGAGGTGTTTGTCCAGTCCATCTACAATTGAGTGATATTACAAGGAGTTTATCCGTAACTAACCCATGTGTGCGTATATATATAATTCTGAAAGTAAATTTTGGAAGTGAATTTAATAGTTTGTCCCTTTAAAAAAATAACCTCTTTAAAAAAAGAAAAGAAAAAACCTGTAATGAGAGGTAAAAGAGAGAAGTTTTATGCAAACTCCGTTCTTAATTAAATTATCTTCCGTATGATGTCTCCACTCAGTCCAGCTCATGACCAACTCCCTTCCTCTCACCAGAGCCCTCCCTCTCTCTTGTCATCACTGGTCATAAAAATTATTATTATTTCTTTCCACCACCCAAGAAATGTACCACAGGACTTCCAGCCTTCATTATCATTTACACGTCTCTTTTTATTTGCTCTTGTTGTATTTTCAGTTTTCACCGTCTCTTCTTTACGTCGCACTAACCCCTTCGAAAGAGAGGCATGAGTAGTTTAGAGGAAGAACGGCTGATCCAAATGGTCCATGACTTCATTGAATCAGAAACGCCAGCAATACCAGCCTCAACTCCCTTGTGCCAAGACTACACGTGCCTCACTCTTGAGGTAATTAAGTACAATGTGTTCGTAAGTATCTCCTCAAGCTCTTTTCGATCTGCAAGTCTACGACCTAACAACAATTTTTTTTTTTTTTTGTGTGTGGGTTTTAAGGAGATTCTTGGAAACTCCACAGACACTGAGAAGGAGATTCTTGACAAAGCCATGAAGTATGTGAGAGAGATTGGAAGTGAGAAGAGCAGAGGGAGCGTGAAAAAGAGGCTGATGATGAGGCTGAGAATGGATGGTTGTGATGCTTTTCTTTGTAGATCTTCTTGGATTGCAACTTTGGACTGTCCCGGGGGTGTGATTCTCTCTCTTACTTAATACTCCATACGAACCATATAACCGTTGGTTTTTATTGAATTTTCTCTTGTGCTCGTAGGGGATTACGAGTATATAGTGATAATGAAGGAAGGAGATGAAAACGGTGGTGCTTCTTCAAGCAAGCTAATAGTGGATGTAGACTTCAAGGCCCAATTTGAACTGGCAAGGCCCACTTCAGCCTACAAAAAATGATGAGAAGCTTAAGAAGGTGGTCTCCCTCCTGTGTTCAGCAGCACAAAAGTCTTTGCGACAGAACGGACTCCACGTCCCGCCATGGAGAAAATCCAAGTACATGCACTCCAAATGGCTCCCATGCTTCCACCGAGCCAATACCATCACCTTGACACTTCCACAGTTTAAGGGCTGGGCCAACGGGCCCTCGAGGGTCTGGCCCATTTCAGGCATCTCTCACTGACTGGAAGAATTTGAAAGTTTTGCTGACTCATTTACAAACTTCAGGAGTAGTGACAAAACTTTTGGATGAGATCACATTTTGCTTCCTTTTAGAGGTTCTTCTTTGGGGAATTTTTCTGCAGTCATTACCACGGTTTTGTATGGGATGTAATATTGTAAAGGAAAATTAGTCAGGGAAAAGTATCCTTTATATCCATCTAAGAAGTATGTTTTATTTATTTAAGTTCAACAGAATATCTCTTGTGATATGTTGCGATTAAGGGTGCAACGTGATTACATATAACTGCGGTAGACATTAGAAATTAATCAAGCATACACAGATACGCATATATCCCTAAATTAACCTTATTACTTTTATGTACTTATAGAATTGATATTTGAGAGTGGTCACCGGTAGTCTCCGTGAATGTGCTGGGACTGATTCCGGTGGCTGCACATGGGTTTGTTGCAACTGAATCCACTGAATGCGTAGCATCAAAGGAGGCTAACAGAATAGAATTTTGTTGGGTGATGAAATCTTTCCTCAAAGTGGTGAGAGAAAAAATGATGCATGAGGAGAGAGAAAAGGAAAAAAGAAGAGGTAAATGGAAGTATAGAATAGGACAAGGGTTTTAATGCAAGGTAAACCATCATGATGTCAAGCTCTGTCCAGGCATCTGAATGAACCTGTCCTTTCTGCCTCAGCGGGAAGTACTTACGCTGCAAGAGGACAAAAAAACTAACATGAACGCAGGCTACTCTTTTAGAGATCTGTGATCAGGTCTTCCCCTTAAAAAGCGATGTGAATAGGGATCCTCTTTCTCTATCTAAGAAATGCTATTAGTTGTACTCTTATTGTTCTGCCGATACTTATGTTTATAAATGGGACTTAGCCCTCCACCAAACCCCAGCCCTCTCCAAATAAGTTTGAAAGTGGTTCAGATAACCCTGTAAGCTCTTAAAATGTCACCTGTCCTCTTTAAGTTTCGTCAAATAATCCCCTAAACAGATACGGTCAGATCTCATCAAAAGTAGAAGTACTATTCACAAAGAAGTACTGTGCACAATCTTTTATTTGCTCATGAGATTGTGCATGTGTGCGGAAGAAAGATTATTAGTACAAGATGTACTATTCTACAAGCTAAAAGGGAAGAAATATAAAAGTAGGATTTAAAATTGATTTCATTGATAGATTGATGTACATAAGATGTGTGTATACACACCAAAGAAATCTATACAAGATAAGCTAATTACATTCATAAGAATCCTCAGGTTACATCTAATCGTATCCCTAAGAATCCGTAATTGCATCAATTACATATTCTTTATCTTTTATCATATTAGCTTGAGAATATCTTAGCATATCTCCAATACTTCCCCTTAAGTTGCAGCATAGAGATTATCAAAGCCCAGATTGTCTTGAAAAGAGTTGAATAAATTTTGGCGGTAGTACATTCATGAAAATATCGCGCGCCCAACTGAGAACTAGAGAGAGCATGAGAAAGAGACACCACCTTCTTGCTAACCTCATCACGTACAAAGTAGCAGTCAACTTCAATATATTTTGTTCACTTATGGAACACTGGACTATCAGAGATGTGAATTGTTATTTGATTATCGTAGTGCACTGGAGTTGTTGAGGAGACAAGAAATCCCTTATTAGATAAAAATATTGAAGCCATAAAATCTCTGATACTAGGTGAGAAATGAAGCGATACTCAACATCAACACTTGAATGAGCAACTACAATCTGCTTCTTGATTTTCCAAGATATAAGATTACCACCGAAAAAGACACATTAACCAGCGGCAGAATAATGATCACCTGGTGAGCCAGCCCAATTAGCATCAAAGTATCCTCGCAAAGAGAGGGAGTATGTGTCTTGGACGAAACAAAAGCCCCTGACCTAGAGACTTCTTAAGATACTTTAAGATGCGAAGAACAACCTCCTAATGAACGGTGGTTGGTGCATGCATAAACTGATTAACACAGCTAACTGCGTATGCTATGTTTGATTGAGTTACTATCAAGTAAATAAGTTTTCAGACAAAACATCAAGATCAACCATGATTAGAAAGTGGGGCATCCAAGGTGGATGCTGAGAGCTGCAAAGTTGGATCCTTCGGCGTGTCACTTGGATGACAACCAAGTAGACCTATCTCTAATAGTAAATCTAACATGTATTCCATTTTGAGAGATAAATGTCATTCTTAGATCGTGCAACTTGTATCCCAAGGAAATAATAAAGAAGACGCAAATCCTTTATCTGAAATTAAGAAACTATGTGTCATTTAACACTGTTGATGCCTGTGAATCACTCCCTATGATAATAATATCATCTACATACACTAATAGAATAACTATACTACGACAACTGTATATGTAAATAGACAACCTTGCTAAACTTATCAAACTAAGCACGAGGTAATTGCTTTTGATTGTAAAAAGACTTTTCAAACAACACACCAAATGCTCACCCTAACAACAAAAATTGGGAGGTGGCTTCATATAAACATTCTCTTCATGGTCTCCAGGAAGAAAAACATTTTTGACATCTAACTGATGAAGATGGCAAGACTAGTTAGATGCCAAAGACACTAATATACAAACTAATGCAAGCTTCGCAATAGATGAGAAATTCTGCTCATAATCCACTCCATATTGTTGAGGAAAATGGTTGGCTATAGGACGGTGTGACGCCCATGTTTTTACACATGGCTGCAGTCCAAGATGAACCCAGAAATGTCAAACCTGCCATGCACTCATACTGTGCAATAATAAGTTCTACCAATCACAGCAATATCCTCTAGTGAAATCAAAATAAAGTACAGATACAAAACAAGCAAAAGAAAGGAAATAACTACAATAGATATGATATAGAAAGAAATATCTTATAAATAAATCATGTCTCAATGAACAACCTGGAATACATCTGATATCCAAAATGAATAAATATGCCTCGACGAGAAAAACTAAAAATCGTACTAAGGCACACTGCCTTTACACTATGAAATAAATTCTAAGGTCTGAACAAAAATATAAAACTATGGTGGTGCCTCTAATAAATCTCATGTGACAGTGACTATACAAAAACTCTGTCATCTTACGACTCTCTGGTACTCCGAATTATCTGAAAGAATATTAGAAGAAAAAGAGCAACAATAAGAGCATCAGAGCGCTATAGCAAGATCACCTCCATCTGCCACAGGGGAAGGGCTGCCAGATGGAGTGGAGCCTCTATCTATTAAGCATAGTCTACCTATATCATTTTCCCCCGTATCTAATAGAATTAATATTTAGACACCTACAATACGAGACGTAGTACGTCGAACGAAATAATCCAAACAAGAAAACCCTCATGTATATACCATATGTCCCGAATTGTAGACGCCTAAATATTAACACCAAACTAGAGATAAACAATCTAAATAAAATTAACAATTAGAAATCCACAACACGAGATTATTGGTACGTCGAGCGAAATAATACAAATCAGGAAACCCTCATGTATATATCATATGTCTCAAATTGTGAATCGCTATTTATTGATCCCAACTAAGAAAACAAAGACAAGCAGTAAAAGAAAGTAAAGACATCAACATATCGTATTCATAATATCTTCCACTGTCACTGGGAAGATAGAATGAATACCGGCACAAATCTCAAGTACTTTCAAATGCAAAGTACTCTAGGTCATATATTTGCAGTGAGTCAAAAACATAATTGGCATCTACCAACGACTCAAACTATCATTTAACTATCTCAATGCAACTCAGTACAAGATTTTTATTCATCGCATCATCATGCAGGATGGACTACCCAGTCGGTATCATAACAGTGTACATGACTCATTAGTCACATCGTATCTCTGTACGTAATACGAGTGCGGGACGGACTACCAACTAGGCATCCTAGGAATACGGCTCACAAGCATCATCGCACCCTAGTGTGGGACGAACTGCTAGATAAAACATCCTAAACACGACTCAATGGCCTGTACAAATAGAATATCGATGCACTACCCCCGTAGTACTAAACTGAGCTCATCAACGATATCCAGAAGATGTGTGTATAATATGTACTAAACTATTTCTCAAAGTAATCGGGTCAAAACCCATCATAATTCCTTTCAGCATATCTATGTGTGTGCTACTACACTATTCGTGAATTTACATATAAAAAAGTTCGGCTCGAAACCCGCAAACATATATCAAACAGATGCAAAACAAAAATTCAGGCAACAATCTTAATAGTCGACTACTAGGCTTAGTAGTTGACTACACCGAGTCCATCCAGACTCTATAATAACATATATCAATATCAGTAGTCGACTATTAAGAATATTAGTCGACTACTCTGCAAACACATAGTTTCTATTATACTCAACTGGGCACGAGTAGCCGACTACTAAGCTTAGTTGTCGACTACTCTGTTAAGACACACATTCTTTCGTGCACAAACGGTGCTTATGTCAATTATACATATCATGACGTTAAAACAAGATTTTATACTTGGCATATGCAATAGAAATTATCTGAATTATCAATTAAATTATTATATCTTCTAAATTAGGGTTTAACATCCTAATTAAACAATTTCTTCAGTTATCTTATATGTAAACAAAGTGATTATCAACACATGATAAAAACTACACATGAACAGAGGTAAAATTCATTTAAATATGTTTATATTACTTAGGTATCATAAACCTAGAGTTTAGGCATGATTAATTAACATGAAAATACAAATAAACCTTCATGTAATATATCAATTATTTCAAATCAGCATATCTGTAGTTT